TACTCTAACCTGGAAGGTAAGGCAAGTGCACCGGTGGAGGTTGACCATAGATGATTTGATAAGGCGAGCTGCATGTGGCTGTACGGTATGTAGTGTTATACCACCATTCTGCTAAAGGTAAGCACTCGCTCCATGTGGTAGGTGAATCAGACGTCATGCAGCGAAGATAAGTTTCCAAAGTTTTGTTAGTAACTTCGGTTTGTCCGTGAGTCTGGAGGTGATATGCAGTTGAGAAGTTTAAATCAACACCATGAACACGAAACAACACTCTCCATACTTCGCTGAGAAACGTTGGATCACGATCGCTTGTAATGTCTTTGGGCATTCCGTGTAGACGAAAAACCTGATCTAAGTATAGCTTTGCAACGTACATGGCTGTATATGGATGAGACAAGGCGAGGAAATGTGCATTCTTTCTCAGTCGATCAATAACAACAAGGATTCAATGTTTGCCAGATGATGGTGGTAATCACTCGATAAAATCAAGACTAATTGATTCCGAAACACCAATAGGTACCGGAAGAGGATGGAGGAGTCCGGGTTTGGCAGCCAAATCATATTTATTTCTCTGGAGAACCGGAGAGTTTCTGACATAGTTTTGGACCTCCAAGCTCATCTTAGGCCAAAAGAACAGTGACTTGATCCGTTGCATCACGACCTGAATGACCACCCACTTCGGAGTCATGCAGCCATTTGAAGATGTGAAGTTTGATAGATGGATCATTACCAACCACAAGCTTTCCGCAGCACGAAGTTCCCCATCGATAAAGGAGTATGCAGCGTGTGATGAAGGTTTGGCCTGTAGTTCGGTGATAAGTTTCTTAAGAGTGGGATCTGTATTCCAAAAGAGCTTCAAAGCCTCATAAAACCCGTGGTGAGCTTCAGAAAGTGACAGCTGAAGAAGTTGTGAACCCGAAACTCTAGATAGAGCATCTGCGGCGGCGACGTTTTCTTTGCCTTCTTTGTACTGAATGTCAAAAGTATAGCTCATTAATTTTGATAACCACGTGTGCTGGAACGGGGTGGTGATCTTCTGTTTGATAAGGTATTTCAAACTCTTTTGATCTGTCCAAATGATAAACTTGTTGTGCGCGAGGTATGGGTTCCAGGTTTGCACGGCGTGAACCACAGCAAGGAGTTCTTTTTCGTAGACTGATAAACCCTGATGGTGAGATCCTAATGCCCGACTAATATAACACACAGGGTGATTGTCTTGCATAAGAACTGCGCCTATCCCGGTGTTAGAAGCATCTGTTTCGACGATAAAAGTCTTTGTAAAGTTGGGGAGTGCAAGGACTGGAGCTGAGATTAGCGCTTGTTTTAGCAGTTTGAAAGCTGATGATGCCTCTGTATCCCAACAGAAGGCGTCTTTGCAGAGCATGATAGTAAGGGTACGAGCGATAATGCTGCACCCTTGTGTGAATCTCCTATAGTAATTGGCGAGTCCCAAGAAACTTCGAAGCTGCTTTTGGTTCTTCAGTGGTGGCAAGTTTTCAACTGATTTTATCTTGGTTGGATCAGTGCTGACGCCTTCATTAGAAATAAAGTGACCGAGATATTCAATTCTCGTTGCTCCAAAAGTACACTTTGCTTGCTTGAGAAAGAGTTGTTGATGTCGCAGTATAGCAAAGGCTGTATCCAAATGTACGAGATGGTCTTCCCAGTTCTTGCTGTAGATTAGTATATCGTCGAAGAAAACCAAGAGAAGTTTACGAAGAACAGGTGCAAAAACATGATTCATGAGTCCCTGGAATGTGCAAGGGGCGTTAGTGAGACCGAAGGCATCACAAGGTACTCATAGTGGCATGAATGTGTTTTGAAAGCCGTCTTGTGCACGTCTTCTGGAGACATACGGAGTTGGTGAAACCCTGCACGTACATCTAGTTTAGAAAATAATCTTGAGCCGCCCAATTCATCGAGTAAATCGTCCAGGAGTGGTATGGGATATTTGTCTTTGATCGTTTGCTTAATTAGACCTTTGTAGTCAACGCATATCCGCCAAGAAGCATCTTTCTTTTCACTAGTACCACTGTTGAGGAGTAGGGACTTGCGCTATACTGAATAATACCTTGAGTAAGCATGTCTTGGATCATCTTATCAATTGAATCCTTTTGTAGTGATGAGTAACGATAAGGTCTGAGATTGATGGGGCTTGCGCCTGCTTCCAACGGGATTTTGTGGTTGAAACCCTCGCGATAAGGAGGTAAAGAAGATGGTTCGCCAAAGATGTCTTTTTACGATTCAAGTAGTTGTTGTAGCGAACCAGTGTCGTCGATCTCTGCACCACTTGCTTCAATATGGTAAAGGATTGTTTCTGGATCGAGTGATTGCTCTTTGACCGTGTTGTCAACTTCACGAAGATGGAGTAAAGCGAGTTGTGGTTCCTGCAACATGAGTTTGTTGAGGCTGGTTCCGGAGATAACCTTAGAGCTGTTTGGTGTTATTACTCTAAGAACGTGTTTGAGACCATTGATAAATTCCATGCGGAGATTGAGAAAATCCCATAGGATTGGTCCCAAGGTGGAGAGCCACTGAACCCCAAGCACTAGATCACTGCAGCCAAGTGGTAAGGTTCTAATCTCCGCATTGAATCCATAACCCTGCATCTTCCATGCGAAGGAGCTGCACTTGTATTTAGTATTCAAGTCGCCGCTTGCTGCAACAACGGACATTGGCTTGATCGGTGTCAAGGAGCAACCAAGTCCCTTAGCAATTTGGATATCGAGAAAGTTGTGTGTACTTTCTGGGTCGATCAGTATGTGGAGTTTGCGCTTCTCATACTGTCCCATCAGCCGCATACAATTGAATGTTGGGGCACCATTAAGGGCATGGACGGAGATAGTTTGGACCTTGTTATCTTCGTCGCTGATGGTTGCCTCATGGATTTGCTTCTCTAGTGCAATCTCTTATCAAACTCTGTCTCAGCTTCCAAGTCTAAGAAAAAAAAACTCAGCTCGTTTATGCTTAAGATGGTGACCCGGTGTAAACGGCTCTTCACAAAACATACACAACCCTTTACGTTTCCACTCCTGCATTTCTTCAAAAGAAACCCGTTTCTGTGGTACGTTTGAAAGGAGAGGTTTATTGTTGATGACAGTATTAGTCGTGGTTGTTGAAGCCGTGTGATACTGGCTCTTGTTCGGTTGTGAAAATTTTGATTTTTGAGAGGGGTTGAAGCTGGAACGAGACGTTCTTGTAGGCTTATGCAACAAAGATAACTCGTGAAGTTTAGCTATTTTTGCTGCTTCGGGAACTGAATTGACCTTGAATTGGCGTACGTGAAGAGCTAAATGTTGATGCATATTTGTTAAGAATATGCTTTAAGGCGTGACTCGGAGCAAGTGTGATCCTTGTCATGGCGCAATCAAACTTGTCGAGATACACATCAATGGTGTCGGTTCCCTGTTTCAAGCTAACTAACTCTGATAGTGGATCGTCAAAGAGCTCGCTAAAGCGGTCAGAAACTGCGGCTGCGTACTCTGGCCACAGCGGGAATTGGTTGTAGTGATTAGCAATGTAGAAGTGATGCCACTGGAGAGCTTTTCCGGTCATGTGAAGAGAAGCAAGTCGAACCTTTAGTTCTGGTGGAGTGCTATCGACTGAGAAGAATTGTTCACAGCGATAAATCCATTCCTTAAGCTCGGAGCCCTCGAACATCAGAAAACCATGATTTTTGTTAGTCATGACGATAGGCCATGATGAACGGGTGGGTTGTTGGTGGGAGTCGATTTTGATGTGCTGTGAGATGGGTCAAGTTGGTCTGGTTGGTCCTCAGTTTAAGGCGTTCCGTCGACAACATCTGAAGTTGCTTCGGTTTGTTTCCCTCCTTGTTGAGAAGGTGATGAATTAGAGAAGTACTTCTCTATGATCGCTTCGAGTACGGTGATCTTTCCTCCGAGTTCCTTGCGGATCTCTTCTGTTTGTTGACTTTGCGAAGCTTGAAGGTCTTCAATTTGTTTGTTCATGTTGTTGAGAGCGGTAGCTTGACGAGTTTCCATCCCTTGACTGGCCATGAGGTCGAATGCTCTGATACCAATGAGATAGGATAACCGGGTATAAATCCCAAACTAGTAACCCTACTTGTAGGTTATAAGGAAGGGGATGCACAGATCTAGGAGTTGATCACGTAGGAAGAAGGATCAGCTCAGAGAATCTGAGATCATATGATAATTGCTTTGCTTGGACAGAAAGTAATAAGAGAATGAGGAGAATATAAAACTTGATCCTTATTATTATAACTTATTGATGCTATGGCTTATATATAAAACACCAAAACCTAAACGTAAATAGTTTTGGATCATTACCATAATAATTTGGTAATTATCCATAACAAGAAATAGAAATAAAACTAGTAATAAAATGGAAAACATAGCGATTAGCGAAGTTGGTTTAGTAGAGATGCTGGCATTTGTGCTGTCACAGAAGGTTTCATGGCAAGGAGGTGGAGTGAAGGGGTGGTGTCGATGTTCGACTTCGGTTGAGAAATCAGAAGTCGAAAAACTGAATCGCCTCAGAAGAAGAAAGAAAAGACGAAAAATCTAGACAAAAAAAAAGAAAAAAAGACGCAAAAATCACAATTTCTAGTGTTCTGTGTTTTCTCAGATGTTGGGTCATATGAGCCAAAACGAAATCTTTCTTTCACATGATTTTCCAAATTCCAAATTGAAACCCACCGCACTTCAAATATTATTGGTGATGTGACACACCTCTCCATGGAAGATATTCTACTTTTAATATTGTACTTATTATTGTACTTATTGTATTTCATCACTATGTTTCACTGCATTTCATTTTATTATTATTAATAATCTTGTTTATTACTTCATCTATCTTCTAAATAACTCGACAACAAAAAGTAAATACATATTCATTTTCTTTAACTAGATCCCCACAAATTCACGTACGTACAAAAAGAAAAACGAACTTAGCTTACATTAGCTTAAAACTCAAAAAGTTCCATACTTCGTTCTATAAACTATCACTTCAAGTATTCAACCCCACTAGCTAGCGTTGAAAGCAGCCGAAAGCTGACCAACCATAACCTTAAGACCTTTTGCTTCCCAAAACTCTTCCTTGCAGCCCTTAAATCCCATCATATCGACGCTACTATTAGTAGTATTAACCATTTCGTGATTGGTCGTCGTCGAAGTACGTTTATAGAAACCGAACCACTTAGCTTGCATGTACCCGTTTCTCCTCCACGGTGGCACGTGTATCCCCACTTGCTTCATCGACCGTCTTATCTCATGGCACATGATCCTCACGAGCTTTTTCAGCTCTTCAGGAGTTCCCACGAAGACACGTGGCACTTGGCTAATTATGGAGGTGTATCTTTTCGTTGGCCTGGCTATTTCAAACTCTCCGGCCAGATTTGTCTCCACTATATAACGATTATGATCTCCGTCGCAATGAACGTCCACGAACTCGTATTTTCTGGCGGTGTTGTTTCCGAATCTTTCCCACGGCGACTTGCAAAGACCTATACATACGGTGATGATATTGTTATTAACATAACATACTTACCGAAGTAAATATGAAGTGGAATATTCTTCTCAAAAGTTAGCTTCCCTTTGATTATTTCACATGCATCCTCAGGTGCTCAAGATAACTAATAATTTTATAAGCTAAAATAAAAACTATATGGATTTTATTTAAGAAATTCTCAAAAATTGAAAACCCATTTACATGTGTCTGTCTTTCAAAGAATTCAAAAATAATTATATACTTAGAATATTAATCGTCTAGAATCCTGCATGGACGATTAAACTATGAAGAAAAGAAAATTTGTATTTAACTAAAACCAAAGAAAATTATAATTGATTTTTGTCATTAAACATCTAAGCTTGTAAAATAACGAAACGTTCATAAATCTTAATCCCAAATATGATGCTGGTGTGAATTTTGTAAAAAATTTCAGCAGATTGATAATGATTATATAAACTCTTCAATTCTTTTCACAACTAGTAAAGTAATCTAATCATCTTCGTTAAATCCAACTTTCACTACATAAACATGTAACAATATATATGTAAATATATAGCTAAAGATAAATCATTAGATATGTACCTGCATCAAAGCCCTTGTTACGTAGAAAAGTCATCAACTGGCGCTTAGAAGAACCATGTTGAACAATATCTCCGACGAATTTTCCGGCAACCTCCACCACGGCCATTATTTTCACCCGATCTTTGCCTACAGATAAACCTTGTAGAAGCTCCCGTAACCTCTCCTTAACATCCTCGTACTCGTTGTCCGAAGAATATTCTATGTCTTCCTCCGGATTCTTCTTTTCTCCTTCCATTTCGATATAAGAAGCAACCAATTCCGAAAGATCCGCCGTGTCCGCTGGTGAATGATCGCTTCCGCTGCTGTTGTCACACGGCATAAGTGCACGCGCCACGGCCACATTGAAAGCCGACTCAGTTCTCTTGAATCTCCCACGAATCTCCACCATATTATTCTTTTACTTTGTCGTCTTGTATATTTTGATAAGTTGGCGAGATACTATGATTCAAAGAATTTAGTAACGTATATATATACACATTTTGATAAATTCAATAGTTTAATAGAGTTAAACTGACGGAGTAAACGACAAAATGATAAAAGATGACGACAGAGTGGTGAAACTATGGTGACAAGTAATGAAAAGTATACTTTAGTCTAGCTCAATTAGGTGAGAAGAATTAACGCCGTTATAGTTATGTTTATTTATCAGATCTGTGTATACGGATGGTTAATTTTATCATTTGGTAAAAGTATGTGTAAATCTTAAATGTAAAACAGTAAAAGTGATTTATTACTGAACCAGAAAAATACAGATTCATTTTCATGTCAAAATTTTGAATTTTATATAAATACAACAAAATACCATTAAAAATATAGATTTATTAGATTCAACTTCTATATAGAAAGTGTAAATTTTATTCGTGGAAATGAATTAGTCTCTTTGTTTCTTCTTACATGATGTTTTAAATCAATGCACATCAAAAAAGTATCTTTTATCAAATTATTATTTAAATATAATATTATTAATTAATTTAACTATAAATAGAAATAATAAAAATATAGTCAATTACACAATTTTTAATAAATTTATACAAACTTCATCTATTATAAACTAACAAAATTTCTTTATATATCATATATATTGAAATGGAGAAAATATTGTTGTTCGCAAATATGAACGGAATAAAAAAAACTGAGATATTAATACGTTTAAAATTTGATCCATCTGTTTTGCAAAATTAAATTACATTGTTACTGTGTATTTATATTTATATGAATTATGTTTTTATGTCTATTTACATATTTGAAGAGAAAATCTATTTGTGAATTATATCTTGTTTTGGAAGTTAGTCTAGATCATTCCATAAATTTGAGATATGTAATATATATTTATATTACTGAAGTAAAAAATACAGAGCTATTGCATATTTAAAATGTTATTAGATAAGACAAAATAAAGAGTTTTGTCTAGATTTGCTCATTTTACTTTTGTTTATCAAACGTCCACGTCATATAAGTTTTAACTTATCAACTGATGACGTGGGTTAAAAATGGCGTGTCTAGTCTAAGATGACGGCGCGTGAATACACGTGCAAGACACCAGGTAAGTCAAGGTTAGCATGTGATTATCACGTGAAAAGCTGTGGTTATTTTTGATCAAAAAAAAAGCTGTGGTTATTATATGTTTCCTACTTCCTACTCGGTTTGAGTTTTTGGATCTTTGCCTGTTTATTATTTAATCTTCCGATGCGGAAAACAGAAGCAGGCTTAAAAAAAAAAAAAGAGTCTATACCAACATTTCGAAGAAAACTGTCTAAGTTCGACGTATCTGATATGACTCCTTTTTAGGTTCTACCTCTTCATATTAAGGATCACGATAGATAAATTTTTTATTACATAATAAATATCTTTTTTATATTTAATATTAAATTTATTAATTTATTACATAATTTTTTATTAGTTAAAATATAATTAAATATATAAATATGTATTATATTAAAATATATAAACTAATTATTTTCTTAATTCGTGTGCACAACTTAAAATGATAATTATAATAAAACAAAAAAGAAAATTTTTAGATGTTCCAAAAAAATTGTTGAGAATTTTAAAACATCATTATTATCACTCTGACATATCTTAAATCTATGGATATGTTCAAATAATCCTTAGATAGAGATGCATGCTACATAATATAAACTCTCTTTTAAGATATTGAGATGAAATCGAAAATATAGCCACATATCTACAACCACAAAGTAAAGTGTAGTGTGTAATACATTTGAATCTGAATTGCTTATTTTTGCAAAGTTCACCTACCACTAAATCATCAAATTCTGAAATACATGACACCACCAGGATATTTTGATTCTTATGTAAGGCGCTCCGCGTTTACAGTTGCGTTGTACAACATATATACAGATTGCTTTCTATCCCACCTTCGGCGAAATGGTAACTCAAGAAAATATGTGCTGTTTGTTGAAAAGTCTGTGGTTAGAGTTAAGATGCATGGTTATTTTATATGACCCAAGTGTAGTGAGTGGTAGCTAAATTTGTGATCCATCCTAAGAAAATGATCATGTTGTTATAATTTTTTTGTCCTGCTATCATCGCTCACAGTTAGTCTTGAAATTTAGGAAATTTTTTTGTTGACAAAAATATATGTGTAAGCTTCAGTTTGTAATTCTGTGTATTTATGAAAATGCGAGTTGAAATCAACATGTTTAATTTAACGTTCCAAAAATCAGAAACTTATGAGTAAATTTATAAAAAAAATTATCATAAAGGCTAAGAGCATCTCCAACCCAACCTCAAATCCTCAATTTTGAGGTTTTTGTCATTCCAACGGAACCTCAAATCCTCAAAACTACTATTCATTTTCTTTTTAGTCCTTATAATCATTTTCTTTCACAAATCCATCTATTAACTTTATTTAGAGTAACTTAAATACACCAAATAAAATAAAATATAATAAATAATACATAAAATTAAAAGTAAATTCAGACAAATATAAAAATACATTAAATAAAACTCATAAAAATAAAATAAAACATTAAACAAACTTAACATAAATTAAAGAAAATTATAGAAACATTTAAGTATTGCATATCTTATAAGTGGTATTTTATATGTAACTTTCTAAATTTTTTCTGTATTTTATTTTATTATATATGTAATTTATATTATTTTATCATATAATATTTTAATATTGTGTGTTTTATAATATATTAATTGTATGTTTTATATGTATTTGTGAAATATTGTCATTATTTATAGTTTTTATTAATATCAAGGACTATAATGCAAATAATATAAATTTTTAAGGATCTTTTTGAGGTTTTATGGTTGGAGCAATCAACTTTCAAATCCTCATTTTGAAGTTTTGTTCCCATTAAAATAAGGTCTTGGGTTGAAGATGCTCTAAGCAGCACGGGGACCCAGATGGAGACCAGAAATTGGAAAGGGAATTGGGACGGAAAACGTTAAACTTAAAATTTGTAGATATAGATACGGCATAGAGACGACAATAAGATATATATGTATATATATATATATATAATATAAAAATACTTATAAATCAAATTATTAAAACCTCTCACATAAGATTTAAACAGTTTTTAAAATGTTAGAAAAAATAGAAAAAACTAATAATCAGGTTGTCTAACATCATATTCTACTGGAGCCGTCGAAAATGCCCAAATCTAAAAATAAAATAAAATACTAAGAAAATTTCAAAAATAAGTACATAAATATAGTTTAAAATATCAATCTTTTATACACTCTTTTAATTTTATAGTTTATAATTGGGTCGACAATCTATTTCCCACGAAAACTATGATATAACACAAGATCTCCATCAAACTATTACCTCATACTAAATATCCATGATTTAAAAATTCTAAACCTATTTCTCCATGAACTAATAATTTCGAATATATTTCTCTCCGAACTGATAGTTCCAAACTCTATTCTCCACAGATCATGGGTTTAATTGGTTATTGTTAACCATATAGTTTAAATCGGTTAGCCTAACCAAAATTCATTTTTTATCAGAAAATATTTTGTATTAAATAATTTATTTAGTAGAAATAAAAATTATTCTTCTGCAATTCAATGGTGACGACATTGCTTTTAGAGTCAGTCAACATTATCATTCTTCTGATTCCTTGCTGAAATTTAACTACTCAAGAGAAACAAAAAAAAAACAAATTAATCAATTAACTATTGCTCTCAGAATCTGAAACAATATTAAATTATTAAGCCAGAGTCATGAATATCACGAGGTTTGTTCTTCTTCGTCGAGCTTCTTTCGCCGTTGATGACCGCTGTAACATCCCTTCACTTCCCATTATTCATGTTTGTCTCAGTTTGTTGCATTTACGCTCCGACCTCCATCTTTCTTTTCTCTGAAATTTTTGATTCACGGCATCTCAGGCCACTGCATCTCACCCGTAACAGAACAAATCCACCGCAACAATACGATGCATGATTCCAACATCAGCCAACCAACACCCTGACACTGCTCTTAATCAAATCCGACAATAATTAATTTTTTAGTTTTATCAAAACCATAATTATTTTTTTTTGAAATTGTTTTTTTTTTATAAAAATGAATTTTGGTTTGGTTTAGCCGGTTTAATCTTATTTGGTTAATAATAACCAATTAAAACATGGTATGTGTGTAATTAAGTTTGAAATTATAGGTTCGCACAGAAATAGATTCAAATTATTAATTCGCGGGGGGGGGGGGGGGGGGGGGATGGGGATTGGTTTAGAATTTTAAATCATGGATATTTAGTAGGAGGTCATAGTTTGGTAGGGATCTGATGCTATATCATAGTTCTCGTGGGTAAATAGATCGTCGACCCTTTATAATTTAGAAAAAACTACAAATGTGATATATAAAGCTCCTTGTTCACTCCTTTATTAGGCGAGATACAAGAGATTGGGATACTAACCTATCATTGGAATATTTTTATCCTGAGGATATCACGCTAATCCTCAATCTGCGACCAAGCAATACTTGGTCTATGGATGGATATGCGTGGAACTATACAAAGTCAGGAGTTTACTCGGTAAAATCAGGATATAACCGGTTACAACTGACTAAAGTGAGCGATACGGAAGCTCACATTTTACAACCAAGTATCACTGATTTACAGAGCCATGTGTGGAGTATCTCTGCTCTTGGGAAGATGAGAAATTTTATGTGGCAAGCTTTGACAGGATGTAGTGCGACAACCAAGAGACTCGTCTATAGGCACCTGGGCACTGATAGGAGCTGTCCTATATGTGGTGACCCTGAGAAAATCATTAGCCATCTTCTTTTTGAATGTCCCCCTGCCCTTCAGGTGTGGGCTTTATCGAACTATCCGTCCCTTCCGGGTTACTTCCCGAGTACTTATGTTTATCAAAACATGAACTTTCTCTTTTGGAAGAAGAAAAATA